ATAAGATAAAGTACAAGCACTCTACATTGAAAATGCTCTAACCTAATTAATAAGATAATAGTAAAAAAAAATTTGGAATCAAGTCTAAGCTTTTTTAAGAAAAATCAATATAATTTAGGATAAATTTTGTAGCCTTTAATTGATTTTTAATTATATTAAGAAATATCATACTTAGAATGTGAGACCCTTCCCTCTTTTCCCATTCTTCACTTCCACTCACTCTTTTCTCACTCAACTCTCGTTCACTCACTTTCTTCTTCTTGTTGTCCCAAGGTGGTGGTACTGAGTAAGTGATTTGAAGCTTTTCTTCCCTCCGTGTTTGCTCACGATTGTTCTTCACCGTCCTTTCAAGCCCTTCTTCAACCTTCTTCTCCGTTTCTCTTCCCGGAAGCTCAAAATCTTTGCCCCGAGGTAAGGGAAGCTGGTTTATCTTGCTGATTGTTTGAGAGTGAGCTTGAGACTCACTTGTTGATGGACTCTTTTCGGATTTGAAGGTTGTTTGTTAAAAATGGAGTTTTAAGGTTTTGGGGTTTTGGGTGAAAATTTAGTTTTACTTTGATTGTGGTTGCATGTTGAAAAAGCTGGCATTTTTGAACTGTTTGATGAAAATGTAGTACTTTGGCTGGATTTCATGTGGGTTTTCTGATTGATTTCGCAGGTTTTGGTGAAGATTTTCGAAACTTGGTGAGTTGCTGCTGAGTTTCGCGCTGAGTGCCGTTCTTCGCGCCGGGCGTGTGACCACCAGGGGACTCCATTTGGCCAAGCTCGCTGGGCGAAATGATGAGTGCGTCGGGCGCGTTTGAGAATGTGGGTCTCTGGCTGGCCCGCGTTGGGCGTGACTTGGACCGCGCTGGGCGCGATACTAGTTGCAGCATGTTTTGGGGCTTTTAGTTCTACGCTGAGCGCGACCCTTGTCGCGCTGGGCGTGAGACTCCTTGGGAGTCTCTGCCTTGTGGGCGCTGGGCACAATTTGATTTGCGCTGGGCGCGAGACCTTGGGGAGATCTCTGCCTTCCCCACGCTAGGCGCGGGTTTGGGAACGCCGGGCGCATGAGACTCCTTAGAGTCTCTGCCTGGGATGCGCTGGGCGCAATAGGTATTGCGCCAGGCGCGTGTGAGCCTTGGGCTCTCTGGCTGGGTCCTGCTGGGCGCGGGTACGCTTGCGCCGGGCGCGCTGGCCCCCTGGTGCTCTCTGGTTGTACCGCGCTGGGCGCAACCATGAGTACGCCGAGTGCGGAGATGAGATTTCACTATATGCTGTTAAATGTTGTTTTAAGCTGTATTTGATGATATTGCTGTGTTATGATGTGTTGTGTGCTGTTATAGCCGCTATGTCGGTGTTGTTATTAGCCACTATTGTAGTGTTGTTATAGCCGCTATGTCGGTGCTGTTATTAGCCATTATTGTGGTGCTATTATAGCCGCTATGTTGGTGCTGTTATTAGCCACTATTGTGGTGCTGTTATTAGCCACTATTGTGGTGCTGTTATAGCCGTTATGTCGGTGCCGTTGTTGCTGAATGTTGTGATGTGCTGAGCTGGTTGGTCTGCTGATAGCTGTAGTTGTTTACAATTCATATTTTACCTATGTATGCTGAATTTTTTTTCACTAGCTTACCCTTTGTTGTTTCCATGTGGTTTGGACTGCTATGATCATACTATGTATGGGAGCAGGGCAGGGTTAGGTTGGTGCTTTGCTGAAGAAGGTCTGCAACTGGCAGATGAAGTTTTATTTTTTTTTATGTTTTTAGCTACTTAGTTAGCAACTGATGAATGTATTGTGTTTTGTACACTCTAACTCTAACCGGATTGGGACCTTGTATATAAATATATTCTAGATCCTATATTATATACTCGTTCTTTTCTGTCTGGTGTTTCCGGTGTGCGGTGCTGTGTGTAGTGACCAGCCGGGTCATTACATAGAAATAAACTTATCTATGAGAGGAAAACTAATTGATATAAAGTTGTATTAGTGACTTTGAATTTGATTTTTAAGTATGCAATTGCATTAAACTGAAAAATACATGTTGTCTAAAAAATAATTTTTAAATTAACTTTTACTTTGAATACAATTTTTTAATTGAGTTTCTTTCTAATTAAGAAGGTCAATTGTCAAAATAAATAATAAAAAAGAAAAATTCTAAATGGAAGATATAAAAAATACAATAAAAACATCTTGTGGAGACACCAACATTCTTCAAAGCTCCTCTAATGAGATTTTTTTTTACAAAAGTGGCCTCAAACAAGTTTTAATATACCTAAGTGGCCCTTGTAAGGTACATAAAAATCTTCATGAGGCCACTTTTGTAATTCCATGATGGAGGTGAAATGGATAACCAAAAAGGTATCTCATTTAGAGATAAAAATACTTAGGTCACAAAACTTGTATCCTAGGAAGGATTGTACGAATTTTATTGATAAAAAATTCTTCAAGATTATATAGATGAAAGAGATAGGTTGTGACCAAGGTACTTTATTAAGGAGAGAATTTTGCAGGATTTTGGCTCCCCTAGAAGGATGTTGTGATCGTTAAGTTATTGGGAAAAAAATTAAAATATGATTCCTTATGATGCGTGCTCGATTAAAAAGCATTTGGAAACTAAATAAAATAATTTAGAACAAAATAAAAGTTTTCAAAATATCCACAGAAAAATCCATGAGTAATTTAGAACAATCCGTACGAAATCATGAAAATCTCCCTTATTTTTTTTTTTTTTATGTTTCTTCTCCTTTATTTCTTCACACCTTTTCCCCTTTCTTGGTTACATCATTAACAAAATAAAGATTTTATTCCAATAATACTATTCAAGCTCTCGCTTCATCTTTCTCTCATTCTCAACCCTATCCACAAGACTCACCCCAAACTAGACTTAGACTCTTAGTCACAAGTTACGCCGCAAGTTGGAGGACTTCATGGACATGGAGGACTACCTCAATGATGAGGACAAGTTTGATATCACCTAAAGGTTGAGTATTTTCCTCTCCAAAATAGACAATTAAATAGAAAAAAGCCTAGTAAGGAGGAATGAGTTGAAACGCTAAAATAAGATGAGTTGAAAATCCTGCTTATGCTTACATACTTACTTTAACAAATGTTTGTTTGTTAAGCTACTTGTTTCTAGTGATAGCCCACTTTTTTTGTAGGAAATTAGAGACTGTCCATCAACATTTCATGTGTTGTATCTTAGAGACTTACATGAGAGTTTGTAGATAAGTCCTTTAAGATTTATTCCATGCCTCAAAAATTCAAATCAATTCATGTTCTCAACATTTATGGACAACATTATGTCTAGTCCTAGCTTATTCCTAAACAAAAGAACTTTGTTTCTATTTGCAAGCCTTAAAAAATTGACTTAGAGGACTTGAAGATAACAAGTCTGCAACTAGGATATTCATGGATCATATTTTTAAGAATTAAAACTAAATTGAACTATTCATTTTATAAAAGTGGATCAATTAATTGATTCATTTTTATAAAGTGGATCAAATTGGTTTTTAAAAATATAGATCAATTTTTTTAAAAAAACAAGATTAGTTTGGTGTAGTGTAGTGCAGTTATCCACTTTTTACTCATGTGGATCATTTTTTTAAAAAAATCGAACCGATCCATTTTTACAAAATGGGTAAAAATGGATCAAGTAGCCAAATTGATTTTATAAAGTGAATAGTTTAAATTTTTTTCTCTAAATGGATCGATTTTTTTAATATGAACCGAATCAATTTGAATTTTTTGCAAACTCTTATCTCTAACATCACCCTTGGAGAAAAAAAATTATGTGTGGAATGGTTTTGAATATGACATGGATATGTAAGAATGACTTGTTTTCTATCAAAAATGGATGTTGGATTTTACTATTCTAAACCAATGGAAGATTTCTAGTCATAGATATTTAAAAGAATATGGGAATAGTTGATATTATTTTCAATGGATCAAAAGATATCATTACTATGACTGATTTTCCAACTTTAACTTCTATTAAAATGAGTTGTCATATATCATTCTCAGTAAGTGAATACGTAATGAGTATAGTGATTTAAAATGTTAGATAATTTATTAAGGTATATCCTTATGATCTGTTTGGATAAAATATCTCTACAAACTCTTATAAAAAAAATTAAATTAAATTAAATTATCAATATAGTAAAACTAACTTATACATAAGTTAACAAATGTTCAACAAGTTAATAAATTTTTTTTTAGTAAAAATCGAACTCAATACTAAAAAATACAACAATCAGGCACTTTACTAAATCAAATAAGCTAAATTACTTGCTTTTAAAAAAGTTAATAAGAGAAATTTATACAAATTATCTTTTTGTATAAATTAATTTTAACGTGAAAAAAATTATTTCAGTTTTTGACATATCTTCTTTTTTCTACTTATATCTAAACAGTCTTCAACCAAAATTAAGTCCAACATGACGCAAAAGAACACAACTAATTCTCAAGTTGTTCGGAAGGTTGATCCCCATGGCTGTCTCTCATATCACATTGCTAACCCTTAGGCTTCAATTAGGCCGATCGTGTCTAAAGGGATTGATACGATATCAAAGATGCCCTTACAAACTTTGGTTTAGCCCTTAAAATTTGCAATTGAATTTCCTAAATCCCGTTTTTTAAATTTACTCGCCCTCCACTTGCGATTCGTTAGCAACTGCATTTCATTGATAATTGTCTATTGTTTATCCACTATACCGAATTTTTTATATTCAAAAAGGTTAATTGAAGTAACATTGCAATTTACCTTGGCCCTAATTTCGCAAGCATGCACTCAAATGATCCATAAGCATAATCACAACCTAGACCTGAGCACCCCTAATAATCTAACACGTTTCCTTGAAAAATTTTAAATTAACCGCTTCCTAAAACAATCTTATCAATTGCTCTCGCATTAGCCTAATGGCATATTTACTTCAATTTAGCTAGTACACAGAGCTAGACACCTAGCCCATAAAAAGATAGAAGGCATGGTTTTGAAAAGAAAAAATAAACTAAACTTCCCTTGCTGTACTAATATAGCACTGTGATTTCCATTTACTATGACATGAACATCAGAACCAAATAAATCGGGCCAAGTTATCCTCCACGGCTAGTGCCCCAACTCTAATGTATACTGCTTAGCGCACATTATCATACAAGACTGTAGGAAAGTATTGTCAACCTGTCATTATCAGGAAGAACCAAAATATTTTTTGAAGGTTGCTAACCAAATGTTCTCTTCAACCACCATAAAATAAAATCCACCTAGAAAGGGGAGAAATGAACAGTTGATACTAGCTTTACTAGCACTAAACTAGCCTGACTACAGATAAAAATGCTACCAATAATTAGGGGATTAGCACAAGTTTAAATAGAGGGCACAGACAGAAAGGAATATCCAAAATGTTGATGAGCAGAAAATGAGCAAGCAGCCAAGGAATGAACAGTGAGAGTAAATATGAACTTCTAGTTTCTTCCACGTTTCTTTCCACTCTTGACCTCACTTCCAGCCTTGGATGAACTTGATGTCTTACCCTTTGTGTATTCTAACTCTTTCATAGAATCCTCGGACTGCTCGATCTCTGAATCGGCTGTTTTCAACAAATTAGATTTCACCTTGCCCATGCCATTAGTATTAGACTTCCCACTACTTTTGGTAGATTTTGCTTTGGAGGATGAAGCAGTCTTAGAAGTTTCTTGCTTGGATTTTCCAGTTTTCGAAGTTTCTTGCTTAGACTTGGCAGAGGATTTTGGTGTGCTAACATCATCCTTCGATTTGCTTATCTTGGAACTATCCATGTTCTTCGATTTTCTTTTTTGTGAAGCATCAATAGATTTACTGCCACCACTTTTCGGAGAATGATCCTTAGATTTTCTACTAACTTCATCCTCAGATTTCACAGAAGTCTTGGAATCTTTTGATTTACGACTAGCTTTGCTGCCATCTTTGGACTTGCCAGACTTCACGGATACACCTTTTGATTTACTGGAAGAGGCTCCTCCACTGCAAGAAATTAAAGTAAAAAATTGAGACATCAAACAAAGAATGAAACAGATATCAAGTCATGTCATTCACAAACCTTTTAGAAGAACCCCTCTTTCCTTCCTTTTTAAATTCACCAGCACTTGTTTTCCCTTTCTTTTTAGGCAGCCTGATATAATCATAGAAAAATGTAAACTAAACGGAGGCAAAACTCAAAATTGAAGATAATATAAAAAGCGCAACTAGAAAGCAAGGCCAATAAATACAGAAACAAATAGATCATATCCAATTGAATCTTTTTTTGACAGCAAACCCAAATTCTAAATCAATGCACTACACTTAAAATTTTGAAATATTTCAGGTATGGTCAATGATACTTTAGCACTCATCATTCGTCACCACATTCACCTGAAAATACACAGCAAGACTTCTACATACTAGTGCTGTTTCCCACACACAGACACTTCAATAGGCACATAGAATGGCTATGCCATAATATACAGCACAGCAACACCACAACAGAACTAACAAATTGAAAACCAACTTCAGATCATTTGTTCAAAACTATGACACAGGAAAAATCATAAGAAAAAACCATATTTTTAAATTCACGACGCACAAACAAAAACATATTTGCATATACAGTAATAAAATCAACCAACCGACCATGGATAAATGCCAACACTGTTCACAAGAGGGTAACATTGGACAATTAAGATAATTTTTCAAACAATAAAACAGAAGAGACATCTATAACAAATGGCATCAACAAGTGGCACATACAAATCAGCAGAAGCAACAGGACTTGTGTGATCAGTTCCTTCTCCCTGTTAAAAGAAATAATTGTCATTAATATAGATAGATGTAGGCAAAATTTAATATACAATATTCAAGACAGAGACTCACCCTGTCCGAATCAACACCAGTTCCAATGAAATCCCATCTTTCTTCTTTAAGAACTAGTATTTCCTCATCACCATCATCATAAACAATCTAAAATAGAGAGAATTGTCAGAAGAGAATAAAAAGGCTGGTGGTAGTGGCAAATTAAACAAAAAAAAATAAAAATTAAGCCATCTTTGTTTGCTATAGAACAGAAAACACATTACTATTCAAATGAGTAAAACAATATAACAAGTCAAAATTTTACTGTAATACATATATGAAAGGATGGGATGATAGAGAGATTATAGTATATCTTCCAAATCACCTGGTGCCTCTTATGGGGAGAAGGATAATAATAACTGACAACACCTTCATAAAACCTACAAAAGACTGTGTGTCAACAAGAATACATAATTTATATACTTACAATGTACTTCACAAGCGAAGAAGGAAAAAAAAAAAAAAAAAAAAAAAAAAAAAAAAAAGCAGTATGCAGAAAGAATATGCATGTGTGATATAGAGTTAAAAGCCAATAGAAAAAGCATATCCCCAGGTTCAATGCTTCTATTTAAATATATCTTTCCAAAATCTCCACCATTCACCCAAAAGCTTTTTTACAGCAAAGTTCACTGAGAGCAACATAAACAATTCATCGCAAGTAATATTGGTCTAAATACAATAAAGCATAGATAACAGATTAATAAGAAGTTCAAACAGGAAAAATACAAAATAAGCCAGAAAGGGATATGTTGAGCTCAAACCAATGAACCATGGTAACTTGTCCAAAAATTTAAAAATGAATATTTATTAAAGCAATTAATCCTAGATAAACCCAAACGTGCTTCAGCAGTATAACAGAATCAGATCACAAAGCAACAGCTACAACAAAGATATAGGCTTGATACAATGCAAAAAATTCAAGTACACAGAAAAGATGCTCAAAACTAAAACATACTCAAAAACCTAAGACATGTTTAACAAAAATTCCCAAATATCACAGCTTTTCTTAAAGACAGAATAATTATTAATTTAAGGTATATGGGAGGCAAGCTTGGCCAAGAAAGAATGAAATAGAGGCTAAGAAACAGAGTGCACAGATAGAAAAAGGACAAGCTGCACTGAAGAAATGCAGGCTTCTGGGCATAACAATGAAGAGTGCAAAACAGGTGTAAGCTGCAGCATATTGCCAAAAGGAGTAGAGGGCTATTGGAATCAACAAAAGGTAGCTATGCAACTCTATACAAAAGACAGAAGATGGACAGGTTTGTGCAAACTTTCTATGGCACTCTGATAAGGATATGTGTAAGAAAGAGGCTGCTAGCCCTAAAAAGGAACACTGCATGCAACGGGTCTGGGATACCTAAAAAATAATCCTTTAAGAAAGTTGAAAACACAGTGATGGCTCCACTATCAATTACTCTTGTCTGGGATATCAATGATAATGTAATTGGCACACAAGTTAACAGTATTCCAGATCATAGAATTATAAGATCATGCAACCACACATACCAAAGGAAAGAAACAGCTTGAGCAACCAGGTATGCAGAATGTGTAAATCACAAGCAAAATGCCTGACAATATATATAAATAACACTCCCTGTCCCTGATCTCTGCTTAACCAAAAATCTTGGTCACAGCATGTAACAAAATAAAAAAATAAAAACGATGTACTTACATTTCATCGTCTGGCCACCAAACTTTAACCCGTTTACCAACAAGGTCTCCATCATATTTAATGGTATCAGGCATCTGAGATAGCAGTGAGAATATTAGCAATCAAAGCGAGACACTACAATTAGCAAGAAATAGCCTTATCATGTGCTTTAGAACTACATAACAAAAATGAAGATTTCCAACATATAAGATACAAATAAGTGTAAAGATAATAATTACTTCCTATGCCATAATAATGGAGAGGAAAACCAGAAGAAAGCCAATATGGTGCAAAAAGAAATATATATATATGAAACATTGAATGACAATGTTTCAACAAATCAGTAGTTCATTTAAAAGACTCCCAACAGGGTTGTTCATATTGAAGAAATCTGTTAGGTGTCCATCAGTATTACATATTAAATCAGAGAGTTTACACAGAGGCAGTTTGGGTTGGGATGAGATAAATCAAGGCATGTTACCTACAAATAAGAAGAGGAACTCAGAAGGAGGGAAATCTTATCATTTGTGAGAGAATTGGAGCCTTTGGGCATTGGGAGGTGCAGACAATCAAATTTCTGCAAGTTAGGCAGTGTATTAAGGGAGTGATCCCTTATTCCTTCTTAGTAAAGATACCAGATTTCTATCAAATATCAAGTGATCAAAGTTCCAGTCATAGAGCTGTGTAGAAATTATTTGTGAAAATGGTTGCAAGATTTTATGGGAAGGAGGCTTATTTGGCTGATCAAATTAGATCGGAATTTTAGAACCACTAGACTACACAAGGAGGAGAAAGTATTGTGGGTTGCTTGCTCATTGAGAGAAGCACTCCAATGGTGATGTTCCTGGAAAGAACAACCAGAAGGCTACATGGTTGAACTTTGAAAAGGCTGTGCTCACGCAGTCACAATCAGAGATTTGGGATAGCTGTCTTCAAGATTCAGAGGAGGAAAACTAAGTGAACATGGAGTTCTAGGCATCAAGAGCCAAGAAAAAAATTATGGCTGTAGAAGAGTGGATGGACCAGGAAAAGAACCAATAACAGCAAGAATAGAAGAATTGGAAGGTGAAAAAGAGACCAGAGAACGAGGAAATTGATGAGGAACACACTATCATCGCAAGAACCACCAGAATCATCTTCAGTCATCAGAGGGGATGGGTCATCAGTACCACTGGAGTTTTGAGTCATGTCCCTTGGATAAGTTTCCTGCCCTGGAACAACTGTGCAACACTAGTAAGAGATGGGAAAAGAGAGGAATACCAGCATACAAGGCAAAACTGCAGCAGAGATTATTTCTCTTCAAGGGTAGGTGTCATGGATGATGGTGCCAAAACTGGATGAGAGCATTGAAAATGGAAGTACAAGCTAGAACCTTGGAGAGGTGGGTCTCCTGCAGGCCAGGCAACCCTGATGCCACACATACCACAGGATTTAGGCTTGCCAGCAAAAGGGGGCACCAGCAGCAAGGAAGTTGTGGGCATTAGTGGATCTAGTTGATGTTGCTTCATAAATGAAGTCAAGGGTTAAATCCTAAAACTCCATAATAGCAACATAGCTCATGAACCCACACAAGGAAATGCAGAAATGAGATCCAGTTCATTGAAAAACACATTCCAGCTAGAACTGCAACACTCAAACTCGGTCAGAGGTGGACAGGTCTCCAAATTGAAGCACAAAAAGTGTCAACTAGAAGGGCTTCTGAAATAGAGAAGGGATGGAAGGGGCAGATTGGAATTACACAATCTAGACCAATCTTTTGACCAAATAGATCAGGGCTTGGTGGTTGAATCAAGTTTCAAATGGTGAATCAGAATTTATCATGAATCATAAGATTCATGGTCAATAATAAAAAAGTGCACATACACCTTAAAAAACATCAAAACAAAAATTCATGATTAATAACTAAAGAACATAAACGTAGGAGCTTTTTAACATAGAGAAACATATCAATAGCAAAAACACATATAGTGTCAAAGGAGAAACACACAAGTAGCAGACAGATGCCAGAACCCACAGTAAAATTGTGTGAGAAGAAAAACACACAAAGCAGAGGGAGAGACGGAGAGGCAAAGAAGATAACAAGAAATGAAGCAAAAGAGACACATAAGAATGGGGCACCCTGGATCTGATTGGAGGGAATGAATCAGCTGATTCCCCTTTCTACTAGTTTTTTGAGGTTAAAAAACTAGTATTTTAGGGTTTACAGAAGCAGGCATAAACCATCCCACTTAGATGTGTTACCCAGTTGTGGTAGAACCATTCAATTCAGCCTCAGAATCATAATTCCTGCAATTCAGGCATTTCATCATGAAATTCAAGCACCAAAGCAAAGCAAGTCACCAGCCACCAAAATAGTATCAAATCACACAAATCATATCATGAATCGTATTGAATCACACAAATCGTATCATGAATTGTATTATACCGATAACAGGGGACCAGGCAATAGTGAATAGCAGTGTGTGGCTAGTCGGTGCTGTATCAGTAACAAAGTGAAGGGGCAAACCCTAAAGTGCCATAACAACAACATAGTTCATGAAACCACACAACCCAGGGGCCAGGGGACCCAACCACGGAAGTTGATTCTCTCCAACCAAACACTCATTGGCCAAACTGAACAAAGTAAAGCAAAGGAATGGACCTTAGTGATGAAGGATGAGAGAAAACAGAAGAGGCTGAGCTCTTCTTTCTAAATTCAAGGATCAAGCCCAATTAATTCAAGAGAAGAATAATGATTCTGAAAAGGGAAGTTTCTGATATTAGTAGACTGGGCCCAATAGAATGAAGTCAAGCAACAGAACCTTGTCAAACTTGCAGTTGACGCCCTGTTTTATGGGCAAAAATCCTGCAAGTATCACTGTTTTACTGACAAAAATACTGCCAAAAGTAGAGCACCAAAGGAGAATGAAAGAACTCTCAGAGTCAAAACTATTTTAAGACTAAAGTGGTAGGATTTGGCTTGGAAATCCTGCTTCAAACAACCAAAACACAGAAGGGGCTTCATTTCACAAGCCACAAGCTGTTCACCTTGAGGAAGGTGAAACTTTAGGGAGGGTATTGTAGGTTCCTTCTAGCATTGGATACTTGTTATCATTTATAATTTGTAAATGAGGGAGTTAGTTGAGATGATTAGAAGAATTAATGTATGTTGCCTATAAATAAGAAAAGGGGTCGCGAGAGAGGGATATCCTGTAATTTGTGAGATAATTGGGGCATTGGGAGGGGGGTTGTGAGAGAGGGATATCTTGTAATTTATGAAATAATTGGAGCATTGGAAGCTGCATAGCCTTGGTGTTCTGCAAGTTAGGCATCATATTAAAGGGAGAAACCCCTTATTCTTTCTAGTAAAGATGTTGAATTTCTATTGCAATCCAGCATACAAACCATATAGCTGACTAAAAGATTTTCCAAAAGGACAAGTGTCCAACTGAATACAACATAAAATTCTTTATAATTGTCATAACACAGGAACAGGTTACATACATTTTCTTTTCCTGGAGTACGTTTCCTCTTCAAATTTGTCTTAGGAGTCTCCTCCAAATGGTTGTCTTTAGTTGATTTTGTGGCAGACTTCGGTGAAGAGACCATTTCCTGAATAACTTACAATAATATCATGAATTTTTGAAAAATATACAAGCAAAACAAATATCATGTCTGAATAATATGAATAAATAGTAGCAATGGAAAAGTTTTAGAGTAAACTCAAAATTACCATATCTTCATCCATAGCAGAAGATTTTGCTAGACCCTTTCCAGTGGTAACTTTTCCCCGCCCCTTTTTTTTCTTGTCCTCCAACTGTGTAGAAGACGAACCAACACCAACCTTGTTTCTATCTTCGGCTTTCTTAGCTGGGTGCTTTTTTCCATCTGGTGGATCACTAGTAGCCTCACTTCCTCTTTTAACTGTATTTACCACAGTAGTTTTTTTCACAGAGGTATGACCGGTTCCCTTTTTGGCTGATGGTCTCAAAGGCTTTGCTTCTGAATCACTTTTTCCGTCAGAAACCTTTTTTGAAACAATTTCTGCACCTGTGTCCACTTCTTTTGCAGAGTTTTCCATCTTCTTTGACCGCCCACGTTTCTTTGAGCGATCTTCATTGTGTATGCTTTCACTTGGTGACGGAGAAGCAACAGCATCAGATTCACCATCACCTGCTTTGGGTGATGAAATCTTAGCATCATTCTCTTTGTCATTCTCTGAAGGACCTACAGCCTCAACGCAATCATCCTCATGAGGAGAATTGGGAACTTCCTTTCGATCACTTTCAGAGTCAATCATTTTCTCAGCTTCCTTCTTGTTAGCAAGATTTGAACCCTTAGAAGGCTCCGACAATTTTGAATAACTAGGTTTCCTTCCTCTTCTCTTGGTGGATTTTTCTGGCTTTTGTTCACTATTGCCAATTTTGTCATCATTATTGTCAATTTTTTCATTATTATCAACTCTTTCATCATTATTGTCAACTTTTTCATCATTGTTGTCAACTTTTTCTTCATTATTGTCAACTTTTTCTTCATTATTGTCGACTTTTTCTTCATTATTGTCGACTTTTTCGGTGTCCACATCATTGGGCTCCTCACTACATGATATATTAATACCTTCAGACTGAGCAGGACAATCAGTATCATCATGCTTCTTTAAGGACTTCGGATCTACCATAGCATCATCTTCTCCAGCTTGTGCAATGCCATTACTCATGACTGACTTAGGAGACATGTCACCAACAGAATTATCCTGTTGAGGTGGTGCAGCTTCTTTCAAATTCTCTCTGTCCACCTGATCAAGCAGAATAAAAATGTTACAGTATCCAATGTCTGAGGATAAAAACAGAACAAAGGAAAAACAAAAGGATAAAAGGATAAAAAATAACACACCTGAACCGATTCCTCCACTGGCTCTTTCCCTGATTTGTTTGCATCTTCCTGGACCAAAAGCAAAGTTGATCACAAGTTATCTCATGAAAGTTTTCCAAGCCAAGCAAATATTTACAAACAGGACATGTTGACAACAAGAATAATTACCACGTGATCACTAGTAACACATGCATCATTTTGCTCCAAGCTACCAGATGTATCTTGGCATATTGAAGCAAGAACATTACTATAATCATCCAAGGAAATACCCAAGGTATTCACTGCTTGCCTTAAATAAGGTCTAAGCCTGGTTGCACAACTTTCAAGAACATTCTCCCCCAACCTTCGAGCAATTGGCAAAACATCCTGAATTGTGAAGATAGAGACAATGGCAACAATAAGAGATTGAGTAAGAAAATGGTTCGATTTTGAAATTACAATTGACTAAAGAGAACCAATTGCAAACTTAAACCTCATTGTCTTTCTTTACACTTGCTAAGATTGGAGAGAGCAAGTCCAAGGATATATCTTCACTTTCCTCTAGAACAAGGATCATTATAGTTTCCATTGATGAAAAAACATTCTTTGGATGATGATCCCTGAAAGTTACAAACAGACCTGGTTAGAACCATGTCCACAGATTTTGCTTCTAACTGGCTAAAGAAATCAGAAATGCTTTTGTATATATGCAACAAAGATATGGAAGAAAACAATTTCTTAAATCAACACAAGAGTACAAGGTATTAAGCAGAAAAAAGAAAGTAAATAAATGTTAATTCCATATAAATAAATATTAGCTAAAACATGTCAACCACCACTTCTAATATTAATTCTATATATTAACTTCAAACAATTAACAAAAGCTTTTCACCTAATTTGGCCCACTAGAATCAAATGTCTAATCAATTTGTAAAAAAAAATAAAGTTACCTCTAATATTTTTCACACTATGCAAAGAATATAATGACACGTGCAATAAAATTGCAAACCAGTTACAACAAATGAAAGAGAGACAAACCATGGGAGGAACATTATGATCAATATTTAGAACCAAGAATGATATCATTCATCAGAATTCAGAACCAAGTTGAACTTCAGCCCTAATAATATACATTTAAAGTAACTGCTCACTCAATATAACTCATGGTTAAAGCTGATATAATGCTGGGCTTGTATGCAGCAGCTCTTACCTTATTGCCTTAAAGAAATGCTGAAACATCTCCAAAATCAGATCATCACATTCAAGATCCAGCATTACCACACATGACCTAACTTTGGAAACTGTCTCGAGAATTACAGTCCTTTTGGTATATGATTGGCTTAACTTATCATGTAGATTTTCAAATGAAGATACAATTAATCGAAAGACCTCCTGGAAGAAAATTATATCCAAAAGTCAACAGATATACTTTGTAAACATAATGATAGAAATCAATTAACTTATAGTAGAATATGGTTGTATGCACCTTCATTTGGTCATCATCATAAGGTGCTTCAGGTGCAGTGATTCTTGTTATCTCACTTATGCAAGAGGCAACTGCAACTTTGACATCAACATCAGGATGCCCTAAAAGTGTATCAGCAATTAATGCTTTCAATGACGGTGAGAGAGCATTTTGCATAGATTTGCTAGGGGATTGTTCAACCCTTGATAGGCAACTCTCAACCCGCTGCATTTCCAAGACAAAAAAAGAACAAAGAAAGTAAGATCAAGGAAATGTGATCAATATTTTGGCCGTTAATAAGGTTAAGAGTACATCTTGAGATTTCTATAAATTTTACCAAAGACATTCTTGAGCTAACATTTACTTCAAACTCATGTAGTACTCAAAAAGAGTTACTAGTTGACAACAAAAATTCAACATAGCTTTTCACATACTTGGACTAATTGTTAAAACTACCTCAATAAAACATATATACAGCATCAATTGCTCATGGAAATTATGAATGTAAAGAACAAGTGACAAAAATCTCAAACTCGATGTCTAAGACAAGTACTGTACTAGGCATTCAGAACAAACACAATTAACAAAAAATAACCAGTGAGAGAAACACAAGTAGTTACATGAAACTTCAAATTTAAATGATATATTTCACAAGAGGGGGATTTCATCAGAAGGCAAGTAAAATGAGGCTCTTTGATAGATGTGAACAGCCTGTTGTATCATTAAACAGTAGCCACTGATGGCCATATTTTGCATCATTTCTTTTTTCTTCATATGGAGGAATCAATTCACAAAGTATGCTCACTCTCACAAGTCCACAACAATAGTAAAAAATTTAACTTATAACCTAATATCAAATAAGAAAGAATCCATTTACTCCAAGAGTAACTTCTGGTAGAATTACTCCACTCAATAACTCATTGTCTACATTGAATCTCAAAGGTCCAACTATTAAATTAAAAGTTTTTACTGAATAGATCAAGTCTATAAATTTTTGCAGCAAAGTTTGAAAATCATATCATACTTGTTATATAGATTCAAATTAACATACAAAATGCTTTTTTGAATGCATGTTATTTTACATTAATGTAACAAAATATCAAATAATTTGCAAATTTGTAAAAATTTGTAGAGTTGACCTATTCATTAAAAACTAAATAAAATTGTTAAAATTCAATGTAGATCATGAGTTATTGAATGGAGTAACACTAGTTACTCTCGGAGTAAGTGGATTCTTTCCCATATTAAACTATCTACACTCTACACCAAGAAAATCAATTTAACCTAATGATTAATGAATATAATTGCCCCATATTTTTTCCATGTGATATCTAATTTATATATTTATATATTGCTAACAATTTATAGCAATGATATCTAATTTCCAGGAGGATTCAAGGCTTTTTAGTGCTCATTAATTATTTGTATATTATTCTTATTTTTATTTTAATTTGTCTTTGGAGAGCTTGTTATCTCCCACTTATTGTATATTTCTATCTTCTCCCAGAAACAAATCTAGTTCAGCTTTAATCATAAACATATTTACAACAAATGCAGTTATAGCTTAAAAACCACAGTCCATGCCAGGCTGTATCTTCAGTATCTTGATCATCAATGCTGACAATCAATTAAAAAACCTGAGTGAACTCAAGATCAGCTTTCAATTCAAATTTTCCACCTATACCACTTGCTTAAAACAGCCTAGTTTAGTAAATGCTGGCCAGCATCCAAAAATAATTTGCAATTTCTTAAGAAAACATAGACAATCATGAAGACTAATGTTGAATAAGGTTATCAATAACGGATAACGGTCTATGGCGGTAAACCAAAAATCCGCCATAAACATATGGCGAATGGCGTGGTGGCTTATGGCAGACGCCATGGCGGACAAAAATAATACCATAGTACTAAGGTGATAAGTTAAAAGTTGTTTTAAAGTTGAATCCCTTAGTACTGTGTGGGCGACATGGAAGTAGTCGATCCATGTCATGGTTGAATGACCAATTTGAGTAAGGTATCTAGTTAGAGATGTAGTCTTTGACTAGGTATTGGAGGGTGCGTGGTACTTGGAGGACAGTGGGTGGGCTAACCCCATATGTGGATTGGTTATGCAAACCAAGGCCGTGGTAGGCTTATACCCAAATCCTTGTGTCCTGATAATAGTATTGGATCTTCGAGTCTAAGTGGCACACCTTAGCAATCGCCTATTGTTGTCTATACCTAGTTCTCTTCGGAGTTCCTAACAATGCCTTATACCTGACCTGGTTGAGATAGGTCAAACGTTGGATTCGATAGGGTTTATGTCACCTGGACTGCTCAACCTTAGTTGTTGGAGATCTCCTAGTTGTATATGTGTGACGATGCATTAGTTGATGTTGTATGTATTGTTACATTCAAATTGCATATAAAGTTGTATGAATGAGCTGATAGTTGAGCTATTATGGTGAACTTTGTGGTTGTGTTGTGATGATGATTGGACAAAAGAGTAGTATAGTTATTACCCTAACAACAACTCATCAACGTTATTTAACAACACATTTTAACAACACAACATCTCATTTCAACTTTAAACAACACATGGCACAACATACAACTTTTTAGCAACATACAACTCTCCTCTAACAACTTAACAATATTATCATCATGCACTTCACAACATATACATGTTCACACATAACATATAGCAACTTTATCAACTTAATTTCAACTAGCTTCAACAATATCTCATATTAGGGTTTTTTGAATTCATTGCAGTTGAATTGACCACAACTGAAGTTGCAAGAATGTTATCAGAGAAAACACAAAAGTGGTAAAGATTGTTATCCTTAAGCTTCATCTCCACATGCCTTTTGTCCTTCAATTTCTTTTGCAAATTAAAGTTTTTGAACCATTCTGTTGTCAACCGGACACCAAGACAATACAGGCTTTTTGGGACTTCTTCAGCAGCTATTTGTCCATATTTTGAACTCTTTTCACTAACAGAATTCATCTGTTCCTCAAGAGCTTGAATCTTTGCTTTGAATCTCATGATCATGTTTGCACTATCATAATGGAGCTGCTGGGCCTGGTATAACAATAATGCCATATCATGGATAGCCCTATCTGTTTCCCTGGTTGTTAAAGGAACACGCCTAGTGGCAGCATTTGAGAGGAGCATCTGCGAATTGTGGATCTGGGCACTTAATTCCCAAGCAAATTGGAGATTGTTACTTTCTTTTGCAATTACAACAAAAGCTTTTGCCAGGGATATCTGATCATTAAGTTGTCTTGTGACTGAGTTAGAGCTTAACATCTCTTCAGTAATATTAAGGCTTTCCATAATCTTATCATGCTTGTAAGGTCTCTGAATAACAGGATACAAGTTATTATTAGTTAAAAAAGGATGACAAGGACCTAATCTACACTCACCATCCCCATTAATAATAATATAATATTCTGATTTTGTAATATAAAATAAAGCATGCCATGTAAGCTGCATTTAATAACTTATCAAGTTCAAGTATTGTTTTCATGATCCACGCATTATCCTTTCTGGAAAAAGATGACCATTCCGTTACAGTTCCAATATTAGGGGAAAAAAGTATAATAAATACCTTTATAGGGAAATGTTTTTCTCTGTAATAAGGATATGAAATGTAAGTGAAAACTACGGCAAGAGCAACATCTGCAAAAATCACTATTCTGCCTATTGCAAAACAAGATTTAAGCTTTTCCTATAATTATAGTAATTATAAACAAATAACAACAATGTGAGCATAGGGTAGTAGCATGGTATCGGTACGGACAAGGATCCTCTCCAGTGAAGAAAAAAATTGGGATGGTGAAGTGTGATTATCTCACTCTTAATTTTTTAAAAATATTTAATTTGTAATAAAAATATACTATTTTACTATTGTTGTAAAGTTGAAAAGTTGGGGACGTATGGTGAAGATATATGTCCTATGTTGAGATACATAGTACTAAGGTGATAAGTTAAAAGTTGTTTTAAAGTTGAATCCCTTAGTACTGTGTGGGCGACATGGAAGTAGTCGATCCATGTCATGGTTGAATGACCAATTTGAGTAAGGTATCTAGTTAGAGATGTAGTCTTTGACTAGGTATTGGAGGGTGCGTGGTACTTGGAGGACAGTGGGTGGGCTAACCCCATATGTGGATTGGTTATGCAAACCAAGGCCGTGGTAGGCTTATACCCAAATCCTTGTGTCCTGATAATAGTATTGGATCTTCGAGTCTAAGTGGCACACCTTAGCAATCGCCTATTGTTGTCTATACCTAGTTCTCTTCGGAGTTCCTAACAATGCCTTATACCTGACCTGGTTGAGATAGGTCAAACGTTGGATTCGATAGAAATGAAAAATAGATGGAAAAAAACAGAAAAATAAAGAATGGAAGGAAGAAGAAAAAACAAAGAGAAAACAGAACTCTTATGGGTCACTGGATTTGTTGGCCGGAAAACTTTATGGAGCTTAGGCCGCTAGGGTTTAGGTCGCTGGAGGCTGGTGGCCTAAGAAGGCTCACCATGGTTGTTTGTTCGCAATTTAGGAGCTTCACAAGAGAAGATGAGAAAAAAAAAAAAAAAAAAAAAAGAGGATGAGGAGGAATTCCGCCATGAGCGCATGGCGGATATGGCGGGTTCCATGGTGGATATGGTGGACGCCGCTATATAACAGGAAATAACGGATAGCGAATGGCGGAGGGGTTCAAAAACGCCACGTTATACCTTTATGGCAGCGCCATAAAGGTTATTTGATGACATTTGAAGACAACCCATCCCAGCAAATTGCAGGCTTAATCTTATTGCAATTAAACCTCAGCTCATTTACAAATCAAATCATGTATCAAACCCGTTTAGAATCAAATTAGTTTAAGAATCCAATGGACTTACATCATCTCGTGTGTCACCAAAGAGGATTTTACAAAAAGTATATGAATCACATAGGAGGATCAAAAATGGGTATCAACCATTACGAATTCACTACCTAATTGATGTGATCAATGATTTAAAAAATGGCCACAGTTTCCTACAATATCAAGGAGGCAACAAAACACCGAGATCCCAATTTAAAAACCATGGAAGTGATGCAGTTGAGGCGTCACTATTGAAGATTAACAAACAAGCAATTCTCATATTAAAAATCAAAGAGTTCCAAACAGTTTCCGAATAGAGGATTCGGAAACAAATTATTCTGAAATTAAAAATCAAGGAGTTCCAATCATTTTACAAATTGAGGATGCACAAACAAATTATTCTCAAATTAACAAGTAGCGAGTTCCAAACAGTTTTTGAATCACGTGTAAGCAAGGATAAAAAGACGGTATATACCATTCCCAAAACATAGATATTCTCCAATACCTAATAAAAATGATGCAGTTAGGGCAAAAACAACGTCAACAAATCCATGCAGAAACACGCGACTCATAATCGATCCACGGAACCCTCGGGAAAAGCCTCGTGCATCAAATAAACGAACAAACAGTGCAAAAAAATAATGGAAAAATGAAAACGCAGCACGAAAACATGCATTCCACAAAAAAAAAATAAAAAAATAAAAAAATAGAGAACATGTGCTTACATCCAGAAGTTGAAGTAGTTCTTCGACGGAGGAAGGAGGATCTACGAGCTTGTTTCCAGCTTCTAGAAGTTGCTCTTCGAGCTCTTGCTCCTTATCCGCCGAAGCCATAGATGCGTCGTTTCGAGAGTCTTCCGTTGCAGATCTTGTGCCCTCTCACTCCATCAAAACCCTAGAAATCCTCCAATCGAAGCAGATTCAACACAGTTTAACCCTAAATGCTGGTTTTCTCAAGCACAATTCAAAACATTAGGGTTCTCTTCGTTTTCTCTCTTCTTTCTGTTTGTTCCGTTCTAATGCAGAGAGACGGAGCCAGCGAGAGACAGAAGAGTAAAGTGAGTTTTCTGGGAAAATTTTCCTCACTAAAATGAAAAATCAAATTCCAAATGTGCATTTATATTATAAATTATTAAATGAATTCAAGTTTGATATTTAATATCTTATTAAATTTATTAAGAGATGGCCTTTAATATTATTTTTAAATGTCATTTTTAACATTTAATATAATGTTAATTATGGCATTAAATTTAAATATATTAAAATTGGCATTTAAAAAACTATTATAGTATTTTTTTTTCTTTCCATTTTGTTGTGATTTTAATTTGGGCGCTTCAAATAAGAATGAAAATTTTAGAATCCATGATTTTAATTTTGGTTTTGAAATCCGTCGTTTGGATTTTCATGGCTTCGGGTCCACGTGCCTTTCGCCTGACCGTGGATATTGTCTCTTACCATTTAATAATTATTATTATTATTATTGGTAAGAGAAAAAAAACCCGAACCAAAATAATAGTCGTAAAAATTAAAAAATTGAGATTTAAGAATAGATATCCATATAGATTTTTATATAAAGGGTAAGTAATTTTAAAATTATGAAAACTAAATATAAATTATAAAATACGTAATATGAATTAGAGATAAAAGTGGATGTAAGAATCAAAAATTAAAATTTTTACCAAAAATATTAAAAGAAAGTTATAGAAAAAGTATTGTCTTTATATATTATTGTTATTATTATTAAATATTTTACATGGAAAATGTTAGTCATCTTCATTTCGACATGGAAATAATTAGTCTAATAATATTTGGTGCGACAGAATAATCCATGGAGAAATCTATGGTGACACAACTAGTTTGGTAAAATAAAAAATAAAAAAGTTCGCTGTGAAAATAAAACCTGATAATAATTTAAGCAAACTCTTTTAATTTTGGTTCCAATTAGAAAAAATCATACGTATAATCATGAATGTGATCATTAATAATTTATTTTTACATCTTGAATTTATTATGAAACTATTTATGAATTATCTATTTATCTTCTATGAAAATAAATGTATTTATTAAATAACAAATTTTATAAGTCTCTCATGTTCGATTCTGATTTAGATTAAAATTATATGCCTGACCGACAGAAATCACCCATGTTTTATGAATATAAATTAATCTTTTAATTATTACTTTTGAACACTATTTAAACTATATTTATGAAAAATATCATTAGTTAAAAAATTATTTTTTTTAATATTTTAATAATATTATTAAATATAATTATCATTTATATTATTTAATTTTATGAGTATTTTTAATTTAAGATATAACATTATTAATTACAATTATATATAAATACGTAGATAATGTCTAAATTCATTTCAACTTTGATGGAGAATACTCGATTTGACTGGCTATGGATATGAGTAAAATTTAAAATATTAAATTGGGAACGGGGACGGATATATATTTACTCATCTCATCCCTATCTCTATCGTTGTCCTGTCCCTACTCCCGATTTAATACTCATCATCGATTTGATTATTTTAAAAAAATTTAATATTTAATTATATGTGATTATTTATTATGATGTGAAATATTTGTGGTTGTTTAATTATTAAGAAGTCTCTCAATTAAAATATAAGATAGACAAACAATTCAATTACAATTATAATATAATAGAAAGATAAGCTAAAAATATTATGTATATTTTTTGCAAAATAATTAATTAATTAATTTTGTACAGGTATGGGTACGAGTATGGGTATATCCGATACTCGACGGGGACGGAGATGGGACGAAAATTACATACCCAACAGGTACGAAGACGGGGACGAGGATGAATTTGAATCGTAGGGACGGGGACGGACATCATGAAACTTGTACCCGACCCGTCTTGTTACCATGTCTAGGAGAGAGAATGAGTGACTAGGAGAGAGAAATGAATTTTATTTTTTTAATTAATTAAAATATGTTTTCTTAATTTGATAAAATATATTAATTATAATTTTTTTAAAAAAAACATACACTCTAATTAATTTGGAGATATATGAATATTAATTGAAAAAATATTATTATAAGGCAGTTATATAAACAAATGTATAAATTGGACAAATTTATTGTTATAAATTAAATTAACTACTTTTTTAAAGAAAAATTAATTACTTTTTATTAATCTTAATGAATTAAGTAATTGAGTTTTATATATAGAAACAAGAGTAAGTCTACATAGATTAATTAACTTCATTCCATAAGTGATGTTTTATATCAATTTTAAACAATTTAACCATTGAATTAAAAATTTATAATCCATAAATTAACTCTGCAAATTTTAAAAAAAATATTATTTGATATTTTGTTTCATTAATTCAAATCAACATATAAAATATTTTCATGTTTACTTGTCAACTTGAATTAATAAAATGCAATATCAAATAGTTTTTTAATTTTTTAAAAAATTTGTAAACTTAACTTATGTATTAAAACTTTTAATTTAATAATTTAATTTTAAGATTTGTTGTAGAATACGAGTTATTAAGTAAATAAATTTAAGTAAATTTACTGTTCAAATACATAAATCCCTTTTTCATATATATGATAAAGGCTCAATCATGTAAAGAAGATATATATCTAATAAAAAATAGTCATTCACCTGACCAAGAATTAGATAAATTTGTACACGATTTTTTCATGTTAAGCGGTGTATTAGATTGAGATTTTGAAAGAAAATTTTAGCATGAAAGAGTTAATCACCTATACACTGTCAGTGTAAAGTTTTTTTACATCGGCAACTAATTATATCTTTTAATTATGTCATATCACTATTAAAAGTAAATGTCTTTATAGTGACATGGCACAATTAAAAAATATAATTGGTTGCCAGTGTAAAAAAACTTTACACTGACAGTGTATAGGTGATTAGCTCAGCATGAAAATGTCTTGTGAATTTTAAAAAACTTTGTAAGAATGTCATAACTTTTAGAATTTTTTTAAAAAGACTTTTAAAACTTGGATTTTAATTAAGACTTCGTAATTTTGATTTTAATAGATTTTGATGAATTTATATTATAATATTTCAAAGGATTTTATGGATTTCATAAGAAAACATGGATTTGCAATACTATAAGATTTAATAATAAAAAAATACAACACAAATAATAAAGAAAAGTAAAATTAATATAATTTATTTCTCGACAAATAATTATTTTCATCTTTTGATAAATAATTAACTTTAATATTCTCCTAACTAACATTTATTTACATATATAAAGTTATATTAAATCTTCATACATTGACATATCTCTTTTATGCACTTGAGTCTAAACAATATATTTAAAATTATGGTCTTCAATCTTCATTATTTAGTAGTATCGAATATGAGAATTTATTCACTAATTCAATTGAAAATTCGTTAAATCAACATTCTTTGCAAATAAAGTTATGTAGTGTTACATGCTAATACAAATTTAACTTGTGTCTTGAATAAAAATAGAGGTTCTGACTTAAAAATTGTGAAGTGTGATTTAAAAATATTCAATATTATTTCAATCATATTTATTAAGGATGCATAATGTAAATTGAAAACTTAATTTTTATTTTAAGGGTCATTATCATGACCTACAAAGTCTTTTTAATATATGTTCCAAAATTTTATATTTCAATATTAAACTTTATTAAAAATAAACGGTTAAATTTTAATTATTAGTTTTTTTACAATAAATAATATTTTAATAATATAAAATTTATTTTAAATATTTAATAATTAAAAATAAAAATTGATGAATTATATATCAATTGATAGATTAAAAAAAAGAAAAGAGAAAAAGAAGAAGAGATGAATGAGATGGATGAATAAAAAGAAAAAATAAAAAAAGATAGAGAAGAAAGAGAGAGAAACAAGAAAGGTGAGAGAGGATGAGGAAAAAAAATAATATGAGACGATGAAGAAGAAGAGATAAATGACATAAATGAATAAAAAGTAAATGAGAAAAATAAGAAGAAAAAAAAAAGAACCAAGAATTATGAGAGAGAATGAAATAAAAAAATGAGGGAGAAACAAAAAAGGCGAGAGAAAATATTTAAGAGACAAAAAAAAAGAAAGAAAGAATATAAATAGAAGGGAGAAAAAAGTCATGTAAAATTATAAAAGTTTTAGAGAAATTGTTTGATAAGTAAATTACATGTAAATTATATTAAAAAGTCTCACAAATCCCAGTATTCAAAATAATTCATTGAAATCTCTATATTTTTAAATATCAATGGATTTTTTTAAGTAAAAAAGTTTTAATTGAATATCCCAAAATTTTGATGAACTCCTAAAGAAATTATGATTGTCTTAATTGAATACCATCAAATTTTGACAAACTCTTAAAAATATCCGGATTATGTTGATTAAATATCACGTGACTTTTTAATATTAAAAAAATATTAATTGAATACCACAAAACTTTTTTATAATAAAAAAATATTTTAAAATTCATTAAAATTTTAATCCAATACACTAACTAAATATTGGTTCAATGTATTTTAACTAAATTTAAACAAACTAATTGAGTTATATTTTCATTTTATTTTTATTTGATAATAATAATGAGACATCTCATTTATTGTGTTCTTTTGTTTAAATATAATAAACTCTTTAAAATATCATTCTGAAGGAAAAAAAAAACTCTTTGAAATAATAGTCTTATATCGTCATTTAAATGTGATAAAATCTTTAAAATAACAATTTTATATTACATGACATCAAATACCAAAAACAAAATATTATATGACTTTATCTTTAAATTTTATTAGATAGTGAAATATTATTTTAAACATGACATTTTTCTACTCTTAAAAGCGTTTATTGTGAAATTATAAAGAAAATATTTTTTAAGATGATATAAAACAAACTTTTTTACCTATAACATAAAAAGATTTACATATCTTAAATTATTGAATAAAAACTTTAATTTTAATATATATAAAGCAAAGAAGTTCTTTCATTATATTTTTCCATTTTTCTCTCTTCAATTAATCTCATTTATCTTTTTAACTTATATATATTTATTAAGTGTCCACTATTCATTTAAAATTAATTGTTACATCTGAAAATTAATT